CAAGAACCACTTGCATTTGGATATCCTTGCCCAGTTCATAAAAGAAGGCTATTAAGTGCTCTAAAAAAAGCCATGAGGGGGCAGTGGTTAGAATGCAGCATTGCAGGCTAACTCTGCCCACTGCCAAGAGTTTTATCTTGATGGTGCTCAAGGTTGACTCAGCCTTCAATCCTTCCGAGGTCGGTAAAATGAGGACCCAGACTGTTGGGGGCAATATGCTGACATTGTATACCAGTCAGAGAGTGCTGTGAAGCAGTATATAAGACTAAGTGCTATTACTATGGGTCTAGGATTTTTAGTCTCTGACTTTTCATTCTCCTCGGGTATTTCTCCTCAAGCGATTCTTCCCCGACTTATCTCCTCAGCTGGCACGCCTCCAGTCATTTGCCCTGGGGAATGGGCCACCGGCCTCTTCGTCCCAGACCCTTCGACATGGCCCATTCGCAGAAAGACGGTTCGTCCTGGGTGTTCCACCCTCTGTGACAGTTAGCCCCCAACCAATTGACTAGAGGGGGTGTAACAGAAATCCACGATATTCTAATTTTTCGAGTTTCACCTGTAAAAGGCCATTTCACTCAATCACACTCCAGAGAGCAGTTGGTTCCTCTTCTGAACTGGAGACCAGGCTATTGGGGGGTGGGGGGGAATAAAATAAAGGAAGATGGACGTTGTTTTGGGGAACTCCACCCCTCTAGAGGAGCATCAAACATGGCTAGTTGCCATCTTATGCTGTTATGGTGGGTGGATGGATGGATGGAGGAAGGGAGAGAGGAAGGAAAAATTTTCTTCTATTGGACCCTTCCAGACTTGGTTAACTAACTGAAGGGAGAGAGGGAGGGAGGCTTTTAGCCCACTCAGTAACAGTGGTGTCCCTGTATTGGTTGGGGAGGGGGGGGAGAGAGCGAGGGAGGGAGGAAGGAAGTCAGGCATTTTGGCAAATTCTTTTACATCTCTCTCCTTTCGCTGGATTTAAATCCTAGCATTGAATTTAGTGAGACTTACTTCCGAGTAAACCAACTGTTTCTCCCTGTATTGATGAGGTGGGGGTCGAGAGAGGAAGGAATGAAGGCATTTTGGCAAATTCTTTTACACCTCTTTCCTTTGGCTGGATTTCTATTACACCCCCTCTAGCTAATTGGTTGGGGGCTAACTGTCACAGAGGGTGGAACACCCAGGACGAACCGTCTTTCTGCGAATGGGCCATGTCGAAGGGTCTGGGACGAAGAGGCTGGTGGCCCATTCCCCAGGGCAAATGACTGGAGGCGTGCCAGCTGAGGAGTTAAGTCAGGGGAGAATCGCCTGAGGAGAAACACCTGAGGAGAATGAAAAGTCAGAGACTAAAAGTCCCATTCCGTATTACTGTTGATGCATGATGCAACCAAGGGGCTGTCTCTTGAAGAGCCTGAAGCTAAGTAGCCAGGCCCGAAGTCACCCTTGGGTCTCCCTCCTCCTAGTCCAGCATCCCTCTATATACTCTACAGGCTGCCTCCTTCTTTATTCCTGACCTCAAGCAATTGGGGAACCCACTTGATGAGCTCAGGCAGAGAAGCCAACCTCAAGAGAGTCCCCATCTGTTCCGGTATCCCTCTTACAGCTGGGGGAGAACCTGCTGGACTCTCCCTAGCCCAGGTGCTAGGGAGCAATTGCCTAATGTAGTGGAGAAGGTGCTTGCAGAGGTCCAGGGTGGACAAGGGCATCTCCTCTTTCAGACCCAAGAATAGGCAACCTTTTAATGGCAAAGGGTTGATGTGCCATTTTGCTGGGAAACACTGATAATGTCTAAAGTCAACCTTAGGAACTCTTCCAAACATAAATCAGTCAGTCAAGAAAAGTAGTCTCTGAGGGTGGGGGACACAGCTACCTTCTCTGGGTCTAGGCTGCTTCATTTTGATGACCTGCATTGGGAGGGTGAGATCTGATAGCCTCTAGACAACCTTCTGAGTGTAGAACATGGGTCTCCAATTCCAACTTTGGCAACTTTAAGACTGAAGAATTCAGTTGCCAAGGCTGGAGACCTTAGCGTATTTTTTATGAGTATGGAGTTCCTTCAGTGTGAAAGACAAGTTATTATTTATTTAGTTTATGATGAGAACTTGACAGAAGAAAGGTAAACATATATACACAATGCACATAATTATATACAAAACTTCTATGCAGTATGGCGGGGGCCTCATAACTGAATATCCAATTCTGCCGTTGCTTGTGCAGATGTAGGGAATGCATGTTGTGGGCAGTCTTGCACAATATGTTTAATATCAACACCACAATCATAACGAGGGGAATCTTTCCATCCCCACTAATACAGGGAAGAGGCACTTCTTCCAGTATCACACCTAATTCTGTTCAATTCCGACCAGACAAAGCAAGGCAGGTCAAAACCAGGTGGTTTGATAGAGGGATACATGAATGGCCAGGCCTTCCTTTCTCTGGGCATTCTCGGGGTTAAACAGGTAGATGTTAAGTGAAAAACCGTTTTCCAAGCTGGCCTAGGGATTTCAATGTTGTGATGGGCTGTGCGTTGTCCTGGTGAATAGGGAGGGCCTTGTTCAGCATCCTTGTCCATAGCCTTGTTGTCTTCTAATGTGGGGCGGTATGATATTGCTTAGTACTGATAACCAGTGCACAGGGGTGGGATGCAACATGGCAGAGATACCGATTGTCTGGTAGAGTCGGAAATCGAGCGTTTGAGTGTGGATACTCTTAAGCTACACACTGGCACAATATTCAGCTGTGGAATACACCAATGCCAAGGCTGTTCTTCGTAGGGTGTTAGCATCAATTCCCCACAGGATATTCCAGCCAGTCTGTTCGGTAAATTGTTGCTGCTTTTCAATTTTGCAGCTGTTTTTTCCATGTGTTGCCAGATCTGTTAGTGATCTGTCCAGTATTATCCCCAGATACTTCGGAGAGTTATTGTAGAATACGGTCCGTAACTTCACTGAAGGCTGGTAATTTGCGTACCTATTGCTGAGGTGGAATGTGGCTACTTCTGTTTTTGTTAGGCTTGGTTGGAGGGGCTATTTTTTAAATCCAATTTCTGGAGATCTTGAGAAGGAATGTCCTCTGCATCACTGAAGTTGGTTCCTTGGACTGCAAGATTGATATCATCAGCATAAGTAAATTTCCAAGAAAGTTTGCGACAGATCATGGATCTTCAAGTTAAAAAAAGCAGGGGATAGCACTGATATTGTAGTAATCCATTATTCAACTTATGATATCTACTTCTATTGAATTCTGTGAAAATTTGAAATAACCTCTTACTCAACATCTTGTCAAGGCAATGGTGCTATGACAAAGTACAGGTAGTCCTCCAATTACGACCACAATTGAGCCCAAAATTTATGTTGTTAAGTGAGACATTTGTTAAGTTTGCCCCATTTTGCAACTTTTCTTGCCACAGTTGTTAAGTGAATCACTACAGTTGATAAATTAGTAACCTGGATGTTAAGGGAATCTGGCTTCCCCATTGCTTTTGCTTGTCAGAAGGTCACAAAAAGTGATCACATGATCCTGGGACACAGAAAAGGTCATAAATATCAACCAGTTGCCAAGAATCTGAATCACATGATCATGGGTATGCTGCAAAGGTTGTAACTATGAAAAATGGTCATAAGTACATTTTTCAGTGCTGTTGTAATTTTGAACATTCACTAAATGACCTGTTGTAAATTGAGGACTATCTGTATAACCTCAATTAATTTGAGGAAAAGTCCTTCTCTCCAGATAGTCTTGTAGGCCCCCAAGAAGTCAAGAAAAACAGAGACCTTTTTCATTTTCCTTTGGAATCTGTCCTCCAGGTAAGAAGTTAGTGCAAGGACCTGATTGGTGCAAGCACCTTTGGGACGAAATCCAACTTGTTCTACCTGGATTACAGATTCTACTGCTAGGGCTATTCTGTTTAGCGCAAGTCTTTCTAAAAGTTTGTAGGTGACACAGGGATGAACAACTGGTCTGTAAATTTGGAGAAGGTTTGGATCCTTCCCTGGTTTCAAAATTGCAATAATGTTGGTCTTCTTGTATATAGGAGGCTGTCATGCTGTGTATAGATAGCATGGAACTAAAAAAGGAGGCAAGCCATAATTTAATCGGTGGTCCACAGTTCTTCAGTAGTTCTGTCCAGTTGTGTCTGCTTCTAGGGGGCGAAGCTCATCTCTGTTTCTTAGGAAACCAGCAATGTTTGCAGACACTTCCTTGGTCATGTGACCAGTATGGCTATATGCCAAAGGTGCACAAAACACTGTTATCTTCCCACCGAAGTGGAATCTATCTTTAGACTTGCATTTGCATGCTTTTGAACTTCTAGATGGGCAGGAGCTGGAGTAAAGAATGGGAGCTCACCCCATCACAAGGCGCTTGGGTCTCGAACCCAGGCTGTAAGCTCAGCTTCTTCAACCGTTGAGTTATCGCGCCTCCTTTAGTTATACCTAGGCACAAAACCAAGTTATACCTAAGCACAAAACCAAGTAAACATTACACATCCTGACATCTGTATGAAAAGACTCTTGAGCATTGGAGACTGAATGGAAAAGTAGAGTCTCGGTACAAAAATACTGTCCTGATAAAAAAATAAACAGGTCATGGAAACAATGGGCCTTTGATCAATTGAATAAAAAGGAGGGTTGAGGTCCATTTGCTACTTAAGCACATGCTGTTAAAGAGGAGACAAGCCACCCATTGTGTTCTCTGCACAAAATGTCCTTTGCCATCAGGATGGCATAGCCGCTGTGGGTATGCAGGGTTCAAACGTAGCACTGTCTACTCTTCACGTCTCCACCAAAAGCAGCCTCTTCCCATAATTGCTGAAAACCAGCATCACTCAACCAACTGCACAAGGGTGCTGACACGTTAAACGGAACAAAAGCTTATGTTATACTCAGGTTTCACACGCCTACAAATGTAGACCATCTACCACATAAGGAGGAAAAGGTCTTCTGGTCTGGGGCGGGGGTGCTGGACAAAATGGTTCTATGATGTTTTCATTCATCTTGCTTCCTTTTGGGTTTCTTTGGATTACGTGATCGGCTTTTGGCTTTGCAGAGAGGACAGATGGGAGCGTTCCGGTGGATCTGTTGGTGGCAGGAGAGACATGCCTAGAGAGAAGGACAAAGTTGATCTGTTAGAATTGGAAAGATAGGAGAGACTGTGACCCTCTTTGTCTGGACTGGTTTTTCCCAACAGGACTATAGGAACCAGAATTCCTAGAACAGGATTCTCTAAACTTGGCAACTTTAAAACTTGTGGACTTCAAGTCCCAGAATTCCCCACCAGCATGGTTGGCTGAGGAATTCTAGGACTTGAAGTCCACAAGCCTTAAACTTACCAAGTTTAGAGATCCTTTCAGTGGGATGGCAGAGATGCTCAGCTTGGGAAGACTGACCCAGACTGGGATCATACAAAATTTTGGTGGTCCGTGGAGAAATTTTCATATTTTTGCATTTTTGCAGGTGGTGCAATATGGAAAAAGGAGCGCAGCCCTTGCCATCCAGAATGAATGGTGCTGTTGTGGCGGTGGGGGAGGGGGTGGCACAAGCGGGAAGGAACGGCATTTGTGATGGCTGGAAGCTGCGGGAGCGAAGTTTCCCCACCAAAGTTTCCCGCACCACTTCAGGAAGCGCTCCTCGAGAGACGAGAGCTTGCAGGGGGCCGATCTGGCATCTGCAATGGAGAGCAAAATCCAGCTGCTCCCTGGACCAGATGCCATTTACTGCTATGAGTCCCAAGCAGCAGGAAACAAGGGCTGCCTTGCGCCGCAAATATACCAAGGTGGAATCCTGATGCCGCACTTACAGTAGAGAGAAGAAGCTGGATTTTGCTCTCCATTGCAGACACCAGATCGGCCTCCTGCAAGCTCTCATCTCTCGAGGAGCCCGACCAAAGTTTCCACCGCCACTTCAGGGAGCACTCCTCGAGCGACAAGAGCTTGCAGGGAGCCGATCTGGCATCCGCAATGGAGAGCAAAATCTGACTGCTCCCTGGACCAGATGCCATTTACCACTCTGAGTCCCAAGCGGCAGTAAACGAGGGCTGCCTTGTGCCATCGGCTGGCGCAAATATACCAAGATGAATGCTCTTCCGGCCCTTGAATGAGAATGAGAGAGAGAGATTGGGGGAGGGGGAAAGTGAGAGAAAGGGGGGGAGAGAGAAAGAGAGAATGACAGAGAGAGAGTGGGGAGAGAGAGAGAAAGAGGGGGGAGAAAGAGAGAATGAGAAAGAAAGAGTGGGAGAGACAGAGAAAGAGAGAATGAGAGGGGGGAGAGAGTGAGAGAAAGAGAGGGGAGAGAGAAAGAGAGAATGAGAGAGACAGAGTGGGGAGAGAGAGAGAAAGAGGGGGAGAAAGAGAGGGAGAATGAGAGTGTGGGAGAGAGAAAGAGGGGAGAAAGAAAGAGAATGAGAAAGAGAGGGTGAGAGAGAGAGAAAGAGAGAATGAGAGAGACAGTAGGGGAGAGAGAGAGAAGGGGGAGAGAGAAAGAGAGAGAGAGTGGGGGAGAGAGAAAAAGAGAGAAAGAGTGGGAGAGAGAGAGAGAAAGAGAGAATGAGAAAGAGGGGGGGAGAAAGAGACAATGAGAGAATGAGAGAGAGTGGGGGAGACAGAGAGAGGGGCGAGAGAGAAAGAGAATGAGAGAAAGAGTGGGAGAGAGAAAGAGAGGGGGAATGAGAGAGAAAGAGAATGAGAGGAAGAGAGAGGGGGAATGAGAGAGAAAGAGAGAATGAGAGAGAAAGAGTGGGAGAGAGAGAAAGAGAGTGGGGGAGAGAGAGAAAGAGAGAGTGTGTGGGGGAGAGAGAGGGGAGAGAAAGAGAGAATGAGAGAAAAAGTGGGAGAGAGAGTGAGAGAGAAAGAGAGGAGGAGAGTTCCTGAAGGACCCCATTCTGTCACTGGGAGTCCAGATGCTTCAGCAAGCGGCGCGCTGGATTCATATTAGTGGTCCGCGAAATTTAAAATTATGAATTTGGTGGTCCCTAAAGTCCAAAAGGTTGGGGACCCCTGAACTAAACCATTAATGTGGATTATTCTCTTGACAAACACTCTTTTCCAACAACCCAGGAGACGACTCTACACATGGACATCACCAGACGGTCAATACAGAAATCAGATTGACTATGTGCTCTGCAGCCAAAGATGGAGAAGCTCTATGCAATCAGTAAAAACAAGACCAGGAACTGATTGTGGCTCAGATCATGAGCTTCTCGTTGCAAAATTTAGGCTTAAATTGAAGGAAGTAGGGAAAAGCTCTAGGCCACCGAGATATGAACTAAATCATATCCCAGATGAATATAGAGTAGAGGTGACAAATAGATTTAAGGAATTAGATCTTATAGACAGAGTGCCTGAAGAACTATGGATGGAGGTTCACAACATTGTACAACAGGTAGCAACTAAAACCATCCCAAAGAAAAAGAAACCCAAGAAAGCAAAATGGCTGTCTGAGGAAGCTTTGCAAATAGCTGATGAAAGAAGGGAAGCGAAAGGCAAGGGAGAAACAGAAAGATAGATCCAATTGAATGAAGAATTCCAGAGAAATAGCTAGAAGATAAGCGTATTCTGATAAGAATACCTTCTTAAATGAACAGTGCAAAAAAATAGAAGAAAACAATAGAATAGGGAGGACCAGAGATCTCTTCAAGAAAATTGGAGATATGAAGGGAACGTTTCATGCAAAGATGGGCATGATAAAGGACAAAATGGCAGGGACCTAACAGAGGCAGAAGAGATTAAGAGGAGGTGGCAAAATTACACAGAAGAACTATACAAGAATGAGCTCAACGTCCCTGATAACCACGATGGGTGGTCACTGACCTCAAGCCAGACATCCTAGAATGTGAAGTCAAATGGGCCTTAGGAAATCTGAGCAACAACAAAGCTAGTGGAGGTGACAGTATTACAGTTGAGCTATTCAAAATCTTAAAAGACGATGCAGTAAAAGTGCTACACTCAATTTGCCAGCAAATTTGGAAAACTCAAAAGTGGACACAGGATTGGAAAAGGTCAGTTTATATTCCAATTCCAAAGAAAGGCAATACCAAAGAATGTTCAAACTATCACACCATTGCACTCATTTCACATGCTAGTAAAGTTCAAATCTTACAAGCTAGGCTGCAGCAGTATGTGGATCGAGAATGGGTGGTCCTACCTGATACACCCTTTTTCAGCAGGAATGAGAGACTCCAGGCATGGGTATCACTCTGTCTTCTGGCTCTATGGACTGAGTTCAATCTTAAAGAGACGCCCTCCTTTGCACACGCTCCCAGATTCAACGATGTCCCACGAGGTTTCCAGGATAGTGCACCTGCAATGGCACCCCAAGGACACCTCCAAGACCAGACCCCCAAATCAGGGTGGGGCTGGAGTTTCTCGTTCCTGCCGGAAAAGGGTGTATCAGGTAGGACCAACACCCATTTTTCAGCTAGGAACTCGAAACTCCAGGCATGGGACTTACCAAAGCCAACAGTCCTCAAGGGTGGGAAGAAGTCTGGTCCTCCAATCTGGGCATCTCCAACACACGTTGCAGAACCCTCCGTCCAAATGCAGCCTCTGCTGAGGCATAAGCATCAATCTGGTAGTGTCGGATGAACGGGGAGGGAGATGACCACGTCGCCGCTCTGCAGATCTCTTCCACTGATGCTCTAGTTGCCCAGGCCGCGCTGGTAGCCGTACTGTGAGTCGAATGAGCAGTTATCCCCCTGGGCCGAGGCAGTGACTGAGCTTCATAAGCTCTGGCGATGGTAGCCCTGATCGATCTGCCCACTGCTGAGCTGGTAAGCTTCAGCCCCATCATAGCTGGCAAGAAGGATACAAATAAGGCCTCCGATCTCCGAAATGACCTTGTCTTCTTAATGTAAATCCTTAATGCTAGTCTCACATCCAGCTTATGCCAGAGCTTTTCCCTGGAGTGAGATGGATTCGGGCAAAAATCTGGAAGTACCAATTCTTGTGCCCGATGGAACCACAAATTAATTTTGGTTATGAAGGCCGGATCTAAACGTAGAACAACTCTATCCGCATGAAAGATACACAAGTCTTCCCTCACAGAGAGAGCCGCAAGCTCTAAAATCGGCGTCTGGCCGATATAATGGCCACAAGGAAAAGAGTCTTATATGTTAAGAAACTGAGGTGGACCTGCCTAAGTGGTGCAAAAGGTGTAGTAGACAAGGCCTGTAACACCTTCTGGAGATCCCAGGTGGGATAACGGTGTACCACCGCTGGTCTCAAGTTAGTCCCCCCCCCCCCCCCCCGAGGAAAATCCTTACATCAGGATGTTGAGCAACAGAAATTCTCCTCCCACACGATAACACTGAAGCTAAAGCAGCCACTTGCCTACGAAGGGTTGCTGGTGATAACCCTTTCTCCAACCCAGCTTGCAGAAACTCCAGAAGCTGCTGCACTGTTGCCTTGGTCGCCTGAATCCTCCGCCCCGAGCACCACAAACAGAATGTTCACCAGGTGGAGTTATAAATGTGTGCCGTCGACGGGCGCCTGGCAGCCTGCATGGTCTCTATCACGCTTGTGGTGAAATTTCTCCCTTCAAGCAATCGCCGCTCAACCTCCACACGCTTAAGTAAAGCCATTGCGGATCTGGGTGACAAACGGGTCCCTGAGAGAGGCAGACCCTATCGGGCGGAATCTTCCAGGGCGGTGCGACCGATAGACTCACCAGATCCGCAAACCACGGTCGCCGTGGCCAAGGAGGAGCTACCAGGATGAGCTCTGCCCTGAAGTGAAGAATATGACTGATGACCTTCGGAAGAAGTGTCAGAGGGGGAAAGGCAAATAACAGGCCCTCGGGCCAAGGGCAATGAAGAGCGTCTACTCCTTCCGCTCCCTGACATGGGAATCGAGCGAAAAACCGGGGTAGCTGGGCATTCGTCCGTGAGGTGAAGAGGTCGATAGTCGGCTGACCGAAACGTTTCACAATCTCCTGGAATAATGTCGGGTCCAGCCCCCATTCCGACTGATCTAAGGCCTCCCTGCTTAGCCAATCCGCCCACGTGTTGTCCTGTCCGGCCAAATGTTCCATTTTGATGGACCCCAAATTTTGCTTCACCCAATGACAGAGCCTCTCTGCCTCCTTCATGAGAGTCTGGGATCGTGTACCCCCCTGCCTGTTTACATGGGCTTTTACTGTAATGTTGTCTGTCATAAGGAGTACATGGTGGTTCAAGAGGTAGGGACTGAAGTGCCTGAGTGCCAAGCATGCCACCCTCAGCTCTAGCCAATTGATGCACTTCCGTGCCTCCGTCCGTGACCAAACACCCTGCGCCATCTGATGCTGGCAATGAGCACCCCCATCCTACTAAACTGGCGTCTGTGGTCACTGTGACTCTCTCCTGTTCTAGGAAGTAACATCCCTGTGACAGCCGTCTGGACATCCACCAGCTCAGGGATGCTCTGACCAACCCCAGAATCCTGACCTTGTTGCCCTTCCTGACTTCTGAAACGGTAACATGAACCATTGCAGAGGCCTGGTGTGAAACCTCACCCATGGCACAATCTCTATGCACGAAATCATCTTGCTTAACAGGGTGGAGAGCTGTGCTAAAGTCACTTTGGGTGCAGGCATCACCCATCTGGTCAAACTCTTGATGTCCTCCAACCTGTCTGGAGAAGGAACTGAATGGTGTCTATAACTGCCCCTAGGTGAATGAGGCAATTTGTTGGGAGAAAATGGCTCTTCTCTATATTTATAGAGAACCCGTGAGCCTGTAGACATTCGACCGTGATATTCAGATCTGACTCCGCCCGAGCTAGAGATGTTGACTGCACCAAAATGTCATCCAGGTAAGCCTGGAGATGAATCGGCTTGGACCTGAGTACCTCTCCCAATGCCGCCAGGATCTTTGTGAAGACCCTGGGAGCAGAGGCTAGGCCGAATGGAAGCGCTCGGTATTGGAGGTGTCTGCTGTCGTAATAAAACCTCAGGTACCGTCAGTACTCCTGATGAATTGGAATGTGCAGATATGCATCTGTGAGGTCGATGGAGGTCAAGAAGTCCCCGCTCCGAACATTTGCCAAAATTGACCAGAGGGAGTGCATCTTGAACCTCCGATACCTCAAGAACTTGTTTAGGCCCTTCAAGTTTAGAATTGGTCGAAGTTCCCCCGAGGGTTTTTGTATGACAAACAGCATTGAGTAATAACCCTTCCCCTGTTCTGATAAGGGGACGGGCTCCACTGCTGCTATGTCTATCAGATGCTGAATGGCTGTTTCCATACACCTTCTCTTTGTTACATCTCTTGACTTTGGGCAACAGACAAAAACCCTTGGGGGAACCACAAGAAATTCTAGAGCTAGACCTAAGTGATGGTCTCCCTTACCCATGCATCTGTGATGGATTTCTCCCACTGGTCTGCAAAAAGGCCTAGCTGGCCACCAATGGAAGCTTCGAGCCTCCAGTCAACAGGATCTGCGAAAGGAACGTGAATTCCCTCCATGAAAGGAACGCTTGGGCTGACCTGCTCTGTTCCTATCTGATTGTCCCATCCCCGACTGATGGAACTGCCCTGCTTGAATGCCCTGGCCTTGGTAAAACCATCTCTGACCTTTATAGAAACCTGCTCCCCCATATGGATGAAAATAAGACCTCCGATCCTGTGAAGTAGATCGGGTGTCCGCCTCTCGTGATAAAGCTGGAAGAACCTTCTTCCTGTCCTTTGGTTCAGATAAAAGGGGATCTAAAGCTGACCCAAATAACTTGGATCCTTTAAAAGGAACAGAGGCCAAGCGCCATCTACGCTTGGAATCTGCCTGCCAATTTTTTAACCATAAGAGTTTCCTAGCCACCACCGTAGAAGCAATGGCTCGCGCTCCAAATTTTGCTGAATGTAGAGTGGTATCAGCTGTATACTCCGCTGCTGCCACTATCTTATTGAAATCCTGATGAGCTCTGAGATCTGAAACCGGTACCCTGTCCTGCATCTGTTTAAGCCACAACAGCGATGCCCTGGTGAAGAAGGACGCTGCCGTGGCTACTTTGATTCCTCAGGCTGCCGCCTGGTGAGCCCTCTTAAGAGCCTGCTCTAACTTACGGTCATCCGGTTTTAGCACCTCTTCTGGCTCGGCTAAGGTAGCTGAGGAAGAGGACAATGCTAGCACCTATTCATCCACATCTGGGATATGCAGGAGCTCCGTGAGAACAGGTGTGGTGTTATAAAATCTCCTTTCATAAGAAGAGGAGCTGGTATGAGTTCCTGGTGAATCCTACTGTTTCTTAATCATGTCTAGAAACATCTGGGGAGCTGGTATAATATCAGTTTCTGCAACTGGTTCTGAAAACAGTAAATCTGCTGGATCCTGTTCTGATCCAACCCTTGTCTCTTCCGAAGTACCCTGCTTTGTGGTGACCTTAGCCTTCATGAGCAAAGCCTGAAAAAGATGTGGTTGAAACAACCCCTTGAATACAGGCTGTTTCGGTAAGAGACCTTCTTCCTCAGAAAATTCCTGATCCCACCACTCAGAAACACCTGCTAATGAGCTCCCTGACTCTGAAGAGGAAACTGAGACCTCAGATTCCCATTTTGGCTGTGACCTAGCTGGTCTCTGTTCAACAGAACTCTGTGGCTTAACCACCTCCACATTCTTTCGCTGTGATCTTTAGGACCAGCTGCAAAGCCCCGCTGCACTGCCTCAGCAATCCATTGCTGCACAATCGCAGGCATCTCAACTTCCTGTCCAGAGGCCTGACCCTCTGGTTGAGGTGGCACCGCAGGTGAAGGAGATAGACTCTGTTCCTGTTCCCCTACCTGCTCTCTTTCCAAAGGTGGAGGAGATAATTCTCTAGACACTAACAAACTGGTAGAAGGCCCTGGTTCTGCTAAATCAGAATCTTGAGCAGGCTGTGGACTATCTAAATGTCTACGCTTTGCTGCTGCCTTTTGACTCTTTGCCAGTTGCTGTTCTAAAGCATCATGTAATCTCTTCTCTGCCCTTTCCTGCGCACTTAATGGGCATGTGAGAGCCATAGTCTTGGCCTTGATCTTTGCTGCTGCACTCTGACTGCCAGACTTAGACCCATGGCCGCTATTAGTGCTGCGGGTAGATCTTCTGTGAGACGCTCCACTGCTCTCCATACTGTGTCCAGAAAAACACCTTAAATCTCTATTCCACCAGTATTGCAAGGAATAATCCTCAACTGCAGAATAGATGAAACAGCCTCACTTGATCTGATGAAAAACGATCCTTTGAGGCAAAATACGTAGCTTAGAAGTGGAGCTGAAGTAAGAAATCAGTCTAGTTCTCCAGTTCAAAAGAGGGGAAAAAAGACCTGTGCAGACTACACATCACTGCACTATGGCCCTCCCCTCCCTGGTCAGCAAACTGTGACCAGGCTTCCTCTTCACCTCAGGGGAATAGAACCCGGGTCCGGACTCCTTTGTGCGTCCCTGAGGGCTTAAGATGCATTAGAGGGCCGAGAACCTGAACCCTATGGCAGCTGCTGCTCTGTGCCTTTAAAAATAGGGGGAAACAAAATGGCCGCCGCATCCGGCGGCCTCCTCAGCCTTCTTTGGCACCAAAATGCCCAAGGTCCTCTAAACGGTGCTTCCACCCCCCTCCTTACTACTTACAGCCTTGGAGGGTATGTGGTAAGGGCACAAGGCAGTAATGGCTGAATCCCGACGTCCACTGCCTGATCAGAGCCCACACGCAGCTCGGCACTTCACAAAATGGCGGCCATTTCTTCTAGCCGCCAAACAGCTGAGATCCCCCAGCCTAGCACTCTTCAAACCTAGGCAACAAAAATAAATTTAAGGCTGGGCATGGATGCAGCAAGGGCTCCTCAGCCGAGGAAACCCCCTCCCACGACGATCTTTCTTCAGCACATGCGCCCGATAGTCGCCGCCACCAAATCGCATTGCCGTGACTCTGAAAAACTCTTTAAAACTCAAGTTACACACACAAAGGAAAAGAAAAACCAAAAAAAAAATATATAAATCAGAAACATTATCCCTTGAGTTTAAATTAAATTTAAACTAGAGAGAACTCTAAATCCTTCCAACTGAGCTCAGGACTGAGTTGAATCTGGGAATATGTGCAAAGGAGGATGTCTCTTTAAGATTGAACTCAGTCCATAGAGCCAGAAGACAGAATGATATCCATGCCTGGAGTCTCGAGTTCCTAGCTGGAAAACTATCAGAAGTTCAGACAGGATTTCAAAGAGGTAGAGGAACTAGAGATCAAATTGCCAAGATATGCTGGATCATGGAGAAAGCTAGGGAGTTCTAGAAAAACATCTACTTCTGCTTCATTGACTATGCTAAAGCCCTTGATTGTATGGATTACAACAAATTGTGGCAAGTTCTTAAAGAGATGGGAGTACCAGACCATCTTATTTGTCTCTTGAGAAACCTATATGCAGGCCAAGAAGCAACAGTGAGAACTGGACACGGATCCACTGATTGGTTCAAAATTGGGAAAGGAGTCCGGCAAGGCTGTATACTGTCGCCCTGCCTATTTAACTTATATGCAGAGCACATCATGAGAAAGGCGGGGCTAGATGAATCAAAAGTTGGAGTTAAGATTGCTGGGAGAAATATCAACAACCTCATATATGCAGATGACACCACTCTAATGGCAGAAAGTGAAGAGGTATTAAAGAGCCTCTTAATGCAGGTGAAGAAGGAGAGTGCAAAAGTTGGCTTGAAACTCAACATTAAGAAAACTAAGATCATAGCATCTGGCCCTCTGAATTCGTGGCAAATAAATGGGGAAGAAATGGAGGTAGTGACAGATTTTATTTTCCTGGGCTCGAAGATCACCACAGATGGGGACTGCAGCCAAGAAATTAAAAGATGTTTGCTCCTCAGGAAGAAAGCTATGGCAAATCTAGACAGCATACTAAAAAGCAGAGACATCACCCTGCCAACAAAAGTGTGTATAGTCAAGGCTATGGTGTTCCCAGTTGCAATGTATGGCTGTGAAAGTTGGACCATAAGAAAAGCTGAGCACCAAAGAATTGAGGCCTTTGAATTAAGCGATCAAACCAGTCAGTCCTAGAGGAGATCAACCCTGACTGCTCTTTAGAAGGCCAGATCCTGAAGATGAAACTCAAATACTTTGGCCACCTAATGAGAAGGACTCAATGGAGAAGAAGAGCCTGCAGTACAGTGGACTAAAACACTGTTATTAACATCTGCTGCTTGCAATTACTGCAAGTTCAAATCTCACCAGGCTCAAGGTTGACTCAGCTTTCCATCCTTTCAAAGGTAGGTGAAATGAGGACCCAGATTGTGGGGGCAATAAGCTGACTTTGTATAAATATACAAAAGTATGAAGGCTATTGCTTAACGCATTGTAAGCCGCCCTGAGTCTCCGGAGAAGGGCGGCATATAAATCTATTTTTTAAAAAAATGGACTCCAGAGGATGGTAGAGTACAGGAAAGCCTGGAGGAACGTTGTCCATGGGGTCATGATGGGTTGGACACTCCTTTGCAACTAACAACAACAACAAAATTAGAGAAGTAGTTGATTAGGAAACTTTAGCTATATAGTCTTGGTGTTCTCTGAGTCTGGTTGATTGGTTGCAGAAGTTTTATTACCCAACTAGGTAACATCATCAGTGCTAGTGAGGGTGGGGTTTGCTCCATGCATAGGAGCATAATTGTTTGGGTTCAGACCATATTCATTTCAGTGGAATTTTTTTAAATGATCTGAAATATTTCTTCCTAGTTGTTCACCAACTGGACTGAGTTACTTTTTATAAGATAAGATGGCAACTGGCTTGCCTTCTGTCTTTTGATCCCTTCCCTTCCTCTCCCCTTCCCTCCCCTCCCTTCCCTTCCCTGGACTACTTCTCCCCACAATCTACCTATGAAAAATGTTCCTATATCATGGTTCCTGAATTCAGAGGTATGAGTATTAGTAAAAATATGACCCCGTGAAAAATCCAAGATCACAGAGAAAAGAAACACAGAACATTCATGATTCAAGAGGGAGAAACTCATTGTCTGATGCTCCAGAGTTTTGGACCAAGTCTAAGAACCTGAAGTTCAAGGAAAATAAAAGGTTGCTCTAGTTGAAATGGCTGGTTGCAGTCTCAATCTGGGGGTTCATGGGAAAAAGGAAACCTCATGTCTAATTTTACAACTGAATCATCTATATTGGTGTTTTTCAATCTGGGTTACTCGAAGAAGTATGGACTTCAACTCCCAGAATTCCCCAGCCAACCATGATGGCCGGAGAATTCTGGGAGCTGAAGTCCACACATCCTCAAGTGGCCAAGGTTGAAAAACAGTGATCTATATACAACAATTTTTAACACTGAGTTTGTGCCTACTTACCTTCATAGGAGGTGGCTGTTGTCTGAAAGTGGCCGTCTGTCTCGTATCCTGTTTCCGAGCCACCTGCAGCTGTTGAGCTGCTGCAGCCGCTGCAGCCAACGATTCTGGGATTGGAGGTTCCTGTGGCTCTGTCTGCCATTCGGCTTTCTGCTTTTCAAAGTAACTAGACAGATCATAAAGCCAAAAAAATAAATAAAAATCAATTAGGGCTGAAAGATTTAGAAACCAACCAGCTCTTTCATTTCACTTCTATTTTTGGAGAGCAAATGGAATAAGCTATCTCTAGAACAGTGATGGCGAATCTTTTAGAGACCGAGTGCCCAAACTGCAACCCAAAACACACTTACTTATCGCAAAGTGCCAACACAGCAATTTAATTTGAATAATGAGGATCTACTACCTAAAGTAATGATAAACAAGGCAGAGTTCAGCTAATTGTTCTAAGAAAAACGTGATAAATGCACTTTTATGCCCCTTCATTTTTTATCTGCTTTTGAAATATTACATTTAGGAACAATAAAAAAAAAACTTTTGTAATATCATTTCTCTTTCCCTCCTCTCTTCCCCCCGCTCTTTCCTTCCCTCTCTTTCCCTCCCCCCCCTCTCTGTCCCATCCATCCTTCCATCCATCCATCCATCCATCCATCCATCCGTCCGTGCTCTCCTGCCGAGCTTCATGTGTTGTGTGAATCCAACAACTTGGGCTGTGGAGGGGGAATGGAGGCTGGCAGGCAAAGCCAAGTGTTAGAGATCCACACAAAATAAGGCAACCCCAACCTGAATCCTGTTTGGGAGACACACACCCCTCCTTTCCTCTCCCCCTCGGCAGGGGCCCAGGCTGCCTGAGTGCAGCTCCCTCCTCAGAGGCGACCAGCAAGCAAACAAACGTGGTGCTTCGGCTGGGAGAGATGCGCGAGCTGAATGTTTGGAGCCATGCTCAGCGGAGTTTGCAAGCCAACTCGGCGGGGCTTCTTAGCGGGGAGGAAAACCCCGGCCTGTTTGGTTCACTTCAGCGCAGGGTGGGAAGGCAGAAGGTGGAGGAAATCCGTGCCTCTTGGTGTTCAGCCCTCAAAGATTCCTTTAGGGCCGTGATGACGAACCTATGACATGTGTGCCACAGGTGGCATGCATAGCCATATCAGTGGGCACACCAGCTCAGCTCCGCGCATGCATGCGCCGACCAGCTGATTTTTGGGCCTTCTGGGCCCACCAGAAGTAGGGAAACAGGCTGTTTCCTGGCTCCAATAGTACCAATAGTTTATTGGTACTCCCAATATACTATTTAATGCATCCATGGACCTCTTCACTTTCCCTTCCTTACTTCTACCAGACCCAGAAATGGACTTTAGAACATTAAGGAAAGTGGCTCCTCAACTTACTCAAGAGAAAGTTTTTCTTCCTCTTCGCACAAATCAGGCAACCTTTGCAAACCCAAAGTCATTCTCAGAGCATCCACATGTTCTTTGAGAGGCTTGTATTCCTCATGGAGACGGCGTGTTGATTCCAGGAGCTTGTTCAAGTCATTCTCGGACTGTTTGATTGTGTTCTCCATCTGGAAGAGAAGCAGGAGATCCAGTCTTTGAGCAGATCTCTCCCTCGTAGCTTAATGACTGGTCCAGTGGTGGGTTCTAAATTTTTTTATTACCGGTTCTGTGGGCGTGGCTAGGTGGGGGGGTGTAACTGATTGGGTGTGGCCAACGTGACATCACTCACACACACTTACATATGACCCCAAGCCATGCCCACCGAAAAGGTGGCTAAAATCTTTGGGACTTTCCGGCCCCATATCCAGGTCGGGACATGGTGAGGTGGTGATGGTCGTCTTGGCTTTCCCTCCGTTGCCCTTCCTAGCTGAAAAGTGCCCTTTCTCGCCTCTGACAGGCCTTCCCCATGGTTGCAGCCAGAGCAACCCATTCCGCCGGCTCAGGGTAGCGGATTCAGCTGTAACCCAGATGAGCCGAGGAACTGCGGGGAGCTTCCTGCATGTTGCACCCCCCTCCTAGCCTTTAATAGCAACCATTTGCTGCAAGACAGGGCTTTAGATCCTCAAGCGTTTTCCCCTTTGCCCACTGATGAAAACCCTCCATAAGGTCCCCTCTGACTGTGTCAGCGTCCAGAAAGTTTCAACTGGAATCTCTTCCTGTCCCTCCACTTACAACATTGATGTCAGCATGGATGAGTCTCAGTTCCTCCACGTGGGCCATCTTTTCCTGCAGCAAGAGATCCATCTCCTGCTTGTACTCCTTCAGGTGCCTCTCCTCAGATTCCAGAGCCTCAAATTCTGCTTTCAAGCGAGCTTTGATCTTTTCCATCTGTAGCGTTTTATTTCTAGGTGTGGGGGAAGGGAGAAATGGAGAAGATAGAGAAACTGGGTGACATTTTCAGGGTCGCCAGAAGCAGCGGTGAAATCTGGCTGGATCTATCCGGCCCGCGTGAACCGGTAGCACCGGTGGCAGGAGGCTCCGCCCACCCACCAGGACATCATTATGTCCCATTTTTTACCCTCTTTGCTACTGGTTTGGGAATATGAGCGCAGAAGAGGCGCGAGTGCTCACACTCCCAAACCAGTAGCAAAGGTAAGTGCATTTCACTACTGGCCAGAAAGTATTTGATCGTACCTCACTGCAAACAGAAGAATCTGGCAATGAGAGAGAAATGGAAGCTTCCAAACCACGAGGTCTGTAGGGTGTGGTTGTGACGTCAGGATGGTCATTGCAATGATGCTCTACATATCTGCAACCTATCATGTTGACTGTCTATGGAGATTCTCAGTCATCCAGGTCATGGTTGGCCCAAAGGTGTTGTTTTCCAAAAGGCACTTAGATTTTCTTGGTTTTCTTTGAAGATGTTTCACTTCTCATCCAAGAAACTTCTGGCCGAATGGTGGAAAATGGAAGGATTTATATTGAGTCAGAACTGAAGAAGCTTCTTGGATGAGAAGCGAAATGTCTTCAAAGAAAACCAAGAAAGTCCAGTTGCCTCTTGAAAAAGAGGCATCTTTGGGACAAACATGTTGACTGTTTTAGCCACATTCTGTTCAACTCATGATTGCTGGCATTTTGTAGCTTGGATTTTGTGCAAAAGCAGCAGAAATGAGGTATATCCATTAAGGTACAATTAAACCATCCGTGGTTTAGAGCAGGGATCTTCAAATGGTGAGCCTCAGCCGCCTTTCGGGCCTGCCTCTTGGCTTCTGTGGGGCCTCCGGGTGCCTGCCACACGCTCGCCCTCCCCTCCGCCTTGGGCCCCGAATCTAGCCCGCGCCTGGGGGACGTGTAGCCCAGAGCAGCGCTCTTTCCTGAGCAGTGGCAAATTAAGGTTCACTGGTGCCCTAAGCACTGACAAATCTTGATGCCCCCCTCCTTTGGTTTTTTTTTTACAAATCTTCATTGGGTTTTATTTCTTTCTCAACTTTGTGGTGCCCCCTTTGGGCCTGGTGCCCCAAGCACATGCTTAGTCTGCTTAATGGTTAATACACCACTGTACCTGAGGGCCACCTGCTTGCTCACCTGCTGGCCGAACTGGTCTGGAAACAGCGTGTCACCTTGCGCCTGTCCTAGGCTTCCTCCAGCCCAGCCGCCGGCTTCTTGTCGCGAGCAGACAAGAGGGGAACCGCAGTGCTGGGCTCCCGCGGCTGCGAGTGCCAAGGCATAGCTAGAATTGGAAGAAAAGGCTGCGCGGCTGTGGCGGAAAGAACCGGAGCAACACCAATTTGCACCTCACTCCAATTGGCACGGTGGGCTTTTTTTTTTTTTTTTTTCTTAATCACATTTTCATCTATAGGGATCTCTTCGCTTTTCCAATTTTGTGCAAATACAATTCTAGCTGCAGTTATTACATGGATAATCAAATATACAGTTTCTTTACTATAAATTGATTTATTGATTATTGATTTATTAAAAAAATATTAGAATGTGCAGAAATGAATAGATTAACACTTACAATTCAAGAAAAAGAAGAATCAGATTATTATAATATATGGGAGTTATTTTATCAATGGTTAGTGAATAAATATGAAAGCTAGGTATTGTAAAAATAGATAAGTAAAGAAGAGAAATGTTAGGTTTATGTTATTTTATCACTATTATTATTATTTAGTATTAGTATAAGAATGAATGTAAGAAATGAATATGGTGGTAAGTTTAATTGTTAAGACACAAAGAATTTTATACTCAGATGATACACTGTTTAACGTAAAATGGAATGCTTGTATTAAAAGAAAATTTTTAAAAATTATTTAAAAAACCAAAACAATTGGCGTGGTGGGCTCAGTTACCAGCGAGAGCAGCCGCCACCTCTCTCGTGCCTTCTTGTCCAAGCTGCTAGCTGTTGCTCCGGTTCTTTCCGCCACAGCTGCGCAGCCTTTTCTTCCAATTCTAGCTATGCCTTGGCACTCGCAGCAGCGGAAGCCCAGCAC